TCTAATATCTCTAGCCTAGATCTAATCAAGATCTACAACTATAAGCAAAATTCCACACAGAAGAATGAGAATGTTGAGAAAGAGTCAGTATGGACCATGGTAATCAGTAATGAAATGAGGAGGTGGCTTCCCATTGACTTCGACAAAGCTTGTGGAGAGCAAGTTGTTTAGTAAGGCCGCTTAGAAAATTGAAAGTTCTGAGACTGAAAAACAAGAATCTTCAAAGATGAAGCTTTGATGCAACCTGTTGCCTCTCTGTTTTGTTTGAACTTGAAGTTTCAAGTTGAAGTTTGTAATTCAAGGCAACTCACTAAAGAATGACTCATCACTTGTCGGATAACATCAATGAACTTTTAATGATTCAACGGGGTTACAAGTGATGACGACATCAACTGAAATGAAATGGAAAACACAAGACGGGGATCGCACTGACAAATGAATCTAGACCTGCATGCATGAGTCCCCGAGGGGCGCAGAGTGATGATGATGATGATAGAGCATGAACTGATGAATAACACTAATAATACAGCTACATCCCCCCCAAGTTCATGGCCTCTCAAGAGGCTTTCTTCGCCGCTGAGGGGTCACAGTCTCTTTGAGTCCTGGCTTATTGTGTGGCATGAGACGTTGCAAGGCCCTGTGGGTTCTGGAAGGGGTTGCTTCTTGTCCGGTGGGGGTAGTCACTTCTGGCTCGACGGGGGTGGTCGGTGCTTCTGCCATGGTAGAAGGAGACGATGAGGGATCTGGAATAGCGGTTTCAGGAAAGGGTGCGGAAGGGGGGCATGGGGTGCCCTCCTGTGTCACATCGGATGCAGCGGGAGCGGCGACGGGGTTGGGGGGTGGGATATATGGAGAGGGATCCGGTGCTGTCTCTTGAATGGTGGGCGACTGCCTAGGAGGGGCTCGTTCGGTTGCAGTCGTTGCCGGTTTGAAGGCTCTGAGAAAGCGTCTGTTGCGTCTTGTGACGCGTCCAGAGCCATCAATCTTGATAATGTACTGGTTGTGGTCCAGCACTTCTGTCACCAGCCCTGTGCGGTCCCATTTTTAGGCGCATTCCCGGTTTGGTTTTGCACGAAGCATCTGTCACCTGGGGACAGGGGTGGGAGAGCTTTGACATGCTCATTCAATGTCTCTGCCGTCCTGGTGTACCGTGCTCGGAGAGCAGCCTCTTTTAACGCCCAGGCCTCTCGCCATAGGGGATTGATGGACGGATTAGAGAACTTTTCCAGTCTGTTAGTGAAGGAAAAAGCATCACGAATGGGGCGTCCGAAGATGATCTGGGCTGGTGACACATTGCAGTCGGGATCGGGAGTATTGCGCAGCTGAAGCATGGCATGCAGTAGGTGGTCGTTGTCCAATGTCCCTGTTGGGCCCACATTAGATCGGAGAAGTCTCTTGGCGCTCTTCACAGCAACCTCGGCACGGCCATTGGATTGGGGGTGGTACGCGGAGGACAGGCGATGCCTCACTCCCCAACGCTGAAGGAATTCACCGGTAGCGCTTGCTGCGAACTCAGGGCCCCCGTCACTGGAGAGCTCCTCAGGGACGCCGAAGGTGATGAAGAACGACCTGAGACATGCTATCAGGCCTCGGGCCCCTGAGTGAGGGCTTCCTGAGGGTGTAGAAAATATTTCTGACCATCCGGAAAGACGGTCGCCAACAATGACGTAGTGGTGGCCACCGAACTCGAAGAAGTCAGCGAAGACTTGTTCGAAAGGGGTGGATGGCGGGATTGCTGGTTCAGACGGCAGTGGAGCCTGGGATGGAGCGTTCCGATTGCATTCACGACATTTTGTTCTTGTGGATTGGATGTCGTTGGTGATACCTGGCCAGAAGACGATGGCTTGGGCCCGTAGTTCCATTGCTGATACGCCCTGATGTGCTGAATGCAGTCCCTCAAGGATCGACGGTCGAAGGGACGATGGCACCACCACACGGTCGTTGTACATGACCACACCATCTAGGATGTACAGGGAGTCCTTGTATCGCATCAAGGATGAGATTGATGGGTTGTCGTGGACAAATCCCTCCGATATTGCTGTCATCACTTGGGACAGGACAGATTCCTCTTTTGTCTCCTGTGCCAGCCGAGACCAGGGAATGGAGGTGAGCCCCTCTGCGTTCTGACATATGGATGCAATTAATAAGGATTCAGAGCAGTCCTCGGGTGATGCCTCTGTATATGCGCAGGGATGACGAGAAGTGGCGTCTGCTGCAGAGTTTGTTTTTCCCGGTAAGTGGGCGATGCGAAAATACCAAGGCAGGGTGCGCTGCTTCAGGCGGAAGAGGCGGGAGTTTGAAATCTCATCGAGGGTGCGATCTCCGAAGATCTTTGTGAGCGGCTTATGGTCCGTGATCACGATGAGGTTGGGGCAGCCTTGGGTGAAGTACCGTGTCTGCTCTAGGCCCCAGGCAATCGCTAACGCCTCGCCTTCAATGGGTGCGTAGCGCTGTTCTGCGCCGTTAAGGAAGCGGGATCCTGCCAGTGTGATCTTCCAGCCATCTTGGCAACAGTCTGGCATACCAGTGGTGCAAGAACAATGCTGCTGGAGGAGGAAATCGCCAATCCCTCGTGAAGACCAATCTGGGCGGAGGCAAGTAGGTTTGGAGGTGTCGAATATCTCGACGCCAAGGCGGATTGCATCTACGATGGCTTGCTTGGAATCACTGAAGGCCTGGTCCAACACAGGAGTCCAGAAGAACTTGTACTTTGGGCTCAGGAAGGGTCGAAAGGGAGCCATGACGTCTCGTAGTTGAGCATAGTTAGCCACTTGGTTCACAAGGCCAAACCAGCTACAGATGTCAGTGGTGTTCTTTGGGGTGGGGGAGGATTGAATGGCTTCCAGGTATTTTGGGAGGGGCTTTAGTATGTTCTGAGACATGGAACCCTGCAAATTTGACATCTCGTCGAGCAAACTGAAATTTGTCTGGATTCAGAACAATGCCTGCTCTGCCCACCAGTGTCAGGAAGTCGATGGTCCTCCACCAATGCTCCTCCAGATCTTTGTCACAGTGAATCATATCGTCGACACACCTCTCCTTTCGTTCGAAATCAGCCAATATCTGGTCGAAGCGGCGATTGTAACCGTCACCTGATGACAGGTAGCCCTGAGGGGCTCGGGTATACCGCCACCGGCCAAAAGGTGTAATAAAGGTGGTCAAGTGGCGGTCATATTCTCTCAATGGAACACTGTTGTACCCATTCCATGCATCTGTAACTGTCTTCCACGTGTTCCCTGGCACACGTCGAGCTAGGAGGAACGGGGCCTCAGCGGCAAAGGTCTCCCGTTTACAGAATTTGTTGAGTGGAGAGAGGTCCACTGTACGCCTCGGGGACCCATCGTGTTTCCTGGTAACGACCATGCGATAACACCAAGTCACTGGTTCACCATAGGGGACCCTCTCAATGACGTCCAGGGCCTCATCACGTAGGAGGTCCTCATACACACGCCTTTGCCAGTGCATTGGACTGGTGCTGCAGTGTTACATGTACGTGGGGTGGCTGAATCATCAATATGGATCTCAATGGGGGGACCTGTCATGCAGGGAAGGGGACGATGGGGGCAGGTATTAAATGTGGAGTTTGCATACATCTTC